CTTTAATATTCAAATAGTGGATGAAAAAGCATGCTATTAACAACCCCTCCCAGTCATAGAAGTTTAGATTTTAAGTTCTGAACCACAAGCTAAACTAAAATAATGATTATACCAAAAATCTTAGTTCAGAAACATGACTTTTTTATATCCAAACTGAATAGAAATTGGTTTTAATGCTCAACCTTCTTTTGTTGTATGAGACAAATAGGGATCACGGTGGGTTCAGGTTTAATTAGACCTGATTCTACCTTCCTGTAAATCTACCTTAATTGCTGTGGGATTTCTTTCTCTCTTAATGGACAGTAAACCTTTCCCCATGCTGAATGTGTCTCTTGACCACAAACAGAACCCAAAACATTAATTACAAGACTGTAAATATGGAGAATTAAAGACTTGTAGGTTTTGTGGTTCTAGAAGATATTTGCATAATTGTTCTCATTTTTTCAACAACAGTTTTAAAATAAGGGATTAATACTTACCGTGGTTATTTCTTTCTTAGTAAGAAAGATTGCAGCAATAAATTAAGAGTTTTGAGAAACTATAAATATTCAAATAAAATATGCTTCCAAGAAAACTTTTTTATTAGATACTTATCTTTGTATACATATTGAATTAAAGCAAGTAGCAGAGACAGGCTTCTTCAGGTTACCTTATATTGTTAATATTTAAGCAGTTCTCCATGCCTCCAGGATATTTTATAAACCTTATCTCACTTGTTCCTGTTATCAACATGGAGAAGTAGATATTATTTTTATTCCCGTTTTACAGATACAAAAACTGAACTACAACATATGCTCCAAACTGGAACAAGCTCCATTTTTGTCTATTTTATATATTGGCCTTATGTGAAATATTTTGTTTGAACAAAACGACCATAGCAAAAATGTTTGAAAAACATTCACCTACACCATGCTTATCTCTCTCTATAAAATACATAGTTAGATTCTATAGAGTTGTATCATTTCTATTTTCAGTAGAGGGTAACTTAAATTCATTGAAGACACAAATTTTCTAAAATACAGTTAGTTTCTAAAATATTCTTTATGGCTTAAAAACATTTGTTAAAAAACATGTTTTTATTGCTCACATTTAAATTGCTTTGATTCAAATAAAACTAAAAATGTATTTATAGTAGTCAGAAATTTCTAAAATACATCTTGTCTTAGGAACAGATATAAAAATTACCCATGCTTTTAAATGGAGCATAATAGAGGAACACTCCTACACTGCTGGTGGGACTGCAAACTAGTTCAACCTCTGTGGAAAGCTATATGGAGATACCTTAAAGTTATACAAGTGAATCTACCATTTGATCCAGCAATCCCATTGCTGGGCATCTACCCAAAAGATCCAATGACACTATACAAAAAAGACACCTGCACTCGAATGTTTATAGCAGCACAATTCATAATTGCAAGGCTGTGGAAACAGCCCAAGTGCCCATCAATCCAAGAATGGATTAATAAAATGTGGTATATGTATACCATGGAGTAGTATTCAGCTCTAAGAAACAATGGTGATATAGCACATCTTATATTTTCCTGGTTAGAGCTGGAACCCATACTACTAAGTAAAGTATCCCAAGAATGGAAAAACAAGCACCACATATACTCACCAGCAAACTGGTATTAACTGAGTAGCACCTAAGTGGACACATAGGTACTACAGTAATAGGGTATTGGGGAGGGGGGCGGGTATATATATACATAATGAGTGACATGTGCACCATCTGAGGGATGGTCATGCTGGAAACTCAGACTTGTGGGGGGGAATGGGCATTTATTGAAACCTTAAAATCTGTACCCCCATAATATGCCAAAATAAAAAAAAAATTAAAAAAAAAATGGAGCATAATGAATATTATATAGCAAATATGTATCTGTTGATAATAGAGGGATTTGGCCATGGTTTTATAGTCTAAATAGAGATTAATTGCTTCATGGCAATATAATTATATAATATTAAGAATATGTAGTATTTTATGAATTGAAATTAATAGATTTGTTGCAAATTCAAAATGAATTAATAAGTAATATACATAGTTATGTTTAGGCATACATACTTTGCGTTAAAGTATGTGTAATAAAACTTGGCATTACACTTAAATGGTAATTGCTCTTAAATGATTATGTACTGTTTTGAATTGATGTCAGTGATTTTTGCATAAATGGCAATCATAATAACAGAATTTGTCGGGATGGGAGAATGAATGGAAATCAGTTCAACGTGGGATAAGGCTAGTCCACAATATCATTATTTATGTTCATTATGGAAGAATGACTCAGTTTCTCTTCCTTGAATAAGATATCCCTTCTGTGAGCAAAGAGACACCTAATCTTGTTCACTTTATATAATCTGAGAACTTTCTTTTAGTGTATCATCTTGTGTTGGCATTTTGAACTTCTCTCAAATAAAATGTAGATAAATAAAGAGGAGGATGAACTACTAGTCTGCAAATAATAATAATAATATACAAATACTTTTCTCAAAATTAACTTGATTTACATCTTACAACTTGAGTACACTTTGAACCTTTTAGTAAAAATGTGCAAAAGATGTAGAGTTGTTATTTTTAAAATTCACTTGGCATTTACTTGTACAGGATAGCATTAGTACAGGATATAAATTAATCACAACATTATGATCTTTGTAGTCACTATGTTAAAATGAAAGGAAGATAAAATTATTTTTATAAGAATGTATTGTATATCCTGACTTTTATATATTTTCAGTATGATGGCAAAATATTTTGTTTTTTGGTTCCAAAAAGCGAGTTTTCTGGCATACCTGATTTCTTTCTTCAAACTGTTGTACTAACAGGATATTCCTAGAAATCAGTCTTGCACATTTCAGTATGGGAAAAAGGGTTACTTTTTAACCAGAAACATGCAATAAAAAAAGTGATCATACCGGTAGTTTTATTATTAGGAATGCGGTTTTTATCTTTTAAAATAACATGTCCGTGGGCAAGTCCATGTGAGTGATTTGGAGCTTTAGAGGTTTGAATATAAACAGACCAGGGGGGAATGAGACAGAAATGCAGAAGAAAACCTTATAGAAAGCACTGAAATTTTCTTGTTACCCAAGATATAGAATAGGGTGGTTTGGGTGAATTGCTAAAAATCATCCGAGACAAAGTTGGGATGGCATACGAATGCTTAGGATTGGTGACAAAGTTTGCTGATAGAGATGGGTAAGAGAGTAATCGTGTGTATTGGGTTTTTTAATCTGTAAAATTTTTCCTGTATTAAACGTTTTTTAAATTAACTTTTCAATCTAGTGTAGTGAGGTCTTTTATTTCATTTTATTTACATTGTTTAAAATAACAATTTGGTATCAAAAACGTGGTTTCTATTGTTATGTTCCCTGGAATGTGTGTATATACACATGTGTGCATATATGCATATACACATATACACATAGATACACAGATTGAGATGATTACAAAGTAAATGTGGGTGATTGTCCCAGTTCAAATAAAACTAATCATCCCTCATGTCACTAAATGAGCCGTATCCTATTATTTAGTTTTGCGATTGATGGATTTTAGTCGTATAAAAGTGACAGTTATTCAACAAGAGTATTATTAAAAGCGAAGTGTCTTTTGTGTCACTTTTTCCTCAGTGAGGTTTGAGTAACTGGTACATGAATAAATTCTTAGGGCCCTTTATGATATTCAAGGTTTATCTTCTCCCTGCATTCTTGTTTGTATATATTTTTGCCGTATTCGAACACCAATATAGCATTTGACGCTATAGTAAATATGCAAATAAATAAATGGTCGCTACTCTTATTTCAGACCATACAATGCTCTAAGCCCCAGAAAGTGAAGGAAAGAAGCAATTTAATATCCCTGAGGGAAACCAAGGGTGAAACCTAAATGCACAATGATACACACAAATAACAGGAAGATTAACACTGAAGTAGAAGGAAAAGTAGTAGAAATTGGACAGTCTGCTCGATGTATATCCAAATATACATAGCAGTGCATATAGCTTGGGTCCGGATAAAGAACTTTCTCCACTTCCTCTCATGGTTTTGAAGTTTCTGAGAATGGAATCAAACTGTACTTTTAAGGCCGACAAAGGAAATATATCAATTCATATTTTCTAAAAATTTTCTTTGGGACAAAATCAGCCAGAAGTCTTTGTGCCTGGCCAGACTTTCTGTCTATAAAGCCATGCATATGGGCTCATTTCGAACATGAAGAATGTTAGGAATGAGGCTATGCTTCCTCACTGGTTAAGCAGTAGGCCAAGTTGTCCTCTGAAAGAAGTGAGCATAGGAGCAGTGGCACTAACAAATGCTTTTTGTCTGCTGTGCGGAGGCACTGTGGATTGCATCGTGTTAGGCTTCATCAGCTACCTAATGCAATGTAACTTGGGAGATAAGATAAATCAAAGGGATGACACTATATTAGGTTTGAAAGATGAGAGCTCTTCCAAAGTAATTGCAGAGTGTATATTTCAGTGCTATTGACTTCAGGAGGTTATTGAAGTCAAAAGTCTTTGCAACAAAACCAATCTTTCAAGAGATGGGTAGCAAGTAAACAGAATCATGCTTTTTTTTCCTAAATAGAAAATTTCCTAGGAAAAAGAGAAATTCTCCTTTGCATATTTGTTTTATACAACTTATGTATTTAACCTCTTTTTTTTTTTATTATATCACCACTTCGGTATTTACTTTTTGTTTATGCAGCTCACGTGCAAATGTATATTAAGCGGGAGAGATAGATTTTCCTGTTCAAGGATATTTTCATCTATTATGGAATTGTTTTGAGCGCAAGTGCCTAAAAGTAACTGAAATGGATCATATCTGACTCTTCACTAATTGTTACCAGAATTTAAGAATTTATTCTTCATTAAGTAAAGTAGTCGCATTTCTTTTTTAAAAGACACTTAAAACTTTGCATTTTCTATTTATTATCTGAAATGTTATAAATAAAATTTAGGAATTGAGAGATGGAAAAACATCGTGATCGATTCCTCTTGCTTTTGTAGCCTACTGTGTGTGAACGGGAGCTGTGCGTATTTGCTTTTCAAACCCTGGGAGTAATGAATGAAGCTGCTGATGAAATAGCTACTGGAGCTCAGGTAGTAACACATGATACTAATTATTTCTTATTTTGATTTGAAAATTTTGTTCCAGTTCATTTAGTTACCTTCACTGTTCTTTGGGGGAAATTTTTGGGCTATTCCTTGGGGGAAATTGTTGATAGCTTCTTGTTAAAAGGCAAACCAGCATTTGATTTTTTTTTTTTTAGATATTAACTAAATTTTCTCTCTTCATCTATGTGTGTTTTATCATTTTTGCAATTGCCAAAGGGAGAAATTAAACCAATTTCTATTGTTTGAAAAATAATTTTAATTCTTTCTTTTACGTAGTGAAGTTGAGATATTGAAACCCCCTAGTACATGCTTTATATAAAATGTATTTGGAAGCAAATCTATTTTTAAAACTTAGGTGAAAAGAAAACTTAGGCAGAACGTATAATAAATAAAAAGAAAGCATTCAGTTTCACAGTAGCAGTGTCAATGAGATAGGAAGAAAAGTCATTCTATCAACATTTCAATTTTTTCTTTTTGAACCTGACTAAACTACTAATTCATCTGTAAGAAAAAAGTGGAGAAAACTTTAAAATAAGTAATGAATGTTAACTAAGAGAAGCGAGACCAACCATATATGGAAACAATTGCAATGCTACAACATTTTAACAAAATACAGTATTGGCAAAGAGTAGAATGGTAGATAACCCCAAAATGGATCAAGTTAAAAATAAATTCAATATATGTTAAAGTAGACATCACATCTCCCTTACTAATGAATTATAGATGGAAACAAATGACCTGCAATAGGGAGAAACATCAGTTTAGTTCTTTACCTTACTGATTGTTACTGTAATTTAAGAATTATCCTTAAATTGTTGTGCAAAAATAAATTTCAAGTGGCTTAATGAATCGTTTGTTTTTAAAAAATTATATTCAAACTAGAGGACGGTAAAATTGAGCATGCACAGTGCATCAGGTTTATGCATTTATGCAGTTTTTAGAAATCATAAAGGGAAATATGAACAGATTTGGTCCATATGTTATGTTTTTTACTTGAAAAAACAATGAACACTGAGAGTAAAGTATGAAAAAATTATATAAGAGCTCAAAAAATTGAGAAAAATAATGAAGACTAACAGATTAACAGAGAAAATAAATGCAAATTCAAAAACATGGACATGAAGTTAGTAAAGGCACATGAGAAAATATGAATAGGAAGCTAAGTGTAAAAGGAATTACTGGTCCTTTATAAAATTTATAAAGGACTTTAATTTATAAAATTCACAAATATAGGAGGGGAAAATGATCATGCAACAGACAGGTCATTCTTGTCATTCTTTTAACAAGTAGGGAGTGCCTACTAGATGCAGGCAGGAGATGTTGCACTAGATGAAGATACAACAGTTAATTAATATAGATGGCAGGATAGGCCTGATGAACTTATGTATCCCTTAACTTAGTCATTTCACAGATTAACTAAACTGATGCATCTACCTGATGATATATTAAGGACAATATTTGTTATATAATTGAATTATAAATGAAAAATAATACAAACAGTAGAAAATTAGTCTTACATGTGATATGGGAAACATGATTCCATGACTAAAATAAATTTTAAAAATACACCTTGATATTGCTCCTATACATAACATGCACATATTTGCATGTTAAAGGCACTAAGAATCCCTAAACAAATAAAATAATTGGTCTATACTTAGAGGATTACATGGAGAGTCTTTTTATTTTCTTCTCATCCCTTGGAAGCAATACTGTGTATATAACAAAAAAGACACTTTATGTGGTATTTATAGCTATGTAAAAATAAGTAGAATCTTACAAGGGGTGTGTATATGAATATACACATATACATACATGTATATTACAAGTATATATGTATGTATGTGCATATATATTAAAAATAACTTCAAGTAATCCACTTAAAATTTGTGGATTTTACTGAATATGTTTCCCCTCAAACAAAGACATTTAAGGCTAGAAATAATAAATTATTGGTTAGAAGGAAAATTGACATCATGCTTACAGTAAGGTAGGTTGATAGAATAATAGGTGCTTTTTTTCCTTCTTATAATAGTTACATCTCTAAAAATAATGGTTCTTCAATAAAAATAAATTGTAAATTATATAATAATGGTTATTAATATAAAGCACAAGTGTTTGGTGCTTTATGAAGTGATTTTACTCTAAAGATCAATATCCCAAAATCAGAGAATTTAGTGATTTTACTCCAAAGGCAATATTCTTTTCACTACTTTATTTTTTAAAACAGGTGCCCCAATATTCTGGTCATAATCCTAAAGATTACATGGCAACTACTTCTTTTTCTAAACAGAAAGAAATTGTACCTGAGTAATCTCAATGCATCAGTTGAGCCTCCATTTTAAGTGGAATTCTAGGGGCCTCAAAGCCATTCCTCAGGATCAATGCAGGAGACTCTACTGGGACAACAGTGTCCTGTGGTCCAAGCAGCTACCATTCCAGGGCCCCAAATGTTGCTTTAACCACAAGAGCTCCATTTTATTTGTTTATCTATTGGGCTTACATATAAAATGTTTTAAAAAGTTGCTTGTGCAATGTTTGACAGCCATTGGTTTACAATTTTAATCCACTACTTGTTTCAGATTGCATTGTGTTTTAGGAGGCTATTTCTGTAGGTGCCTTTCCTATCCACATGGACTTCCAATCAGTAAAATGCTAATGACTGAATTTTTCTCACTAGCAGTGTCCCGAGGCCTTTCATACCTGAAAAGGGGGTGAGGGGAGGGGCTTGCTCTGCCACTTGAATTATATGTAGTGAAATGTCCTTTGGAGGCACCTGGTTCTGTAAATTCACAGACCTTTTGTGTCCACTTGTATAATGGCCTAATTCCCATTGCTTGAATTTAGTATTAAGAGTTCTTTGCATTCCTACCCTAACTATCTTAGTCAACCTCCAAATTGCTTCTTCAATTATGTTATTCAGTCTAAGAAGACAGATGTGTGTAACTTGTTTATAGTACTCATCATATATACTAAGGTACTACGTAGAATCCTTAATTTTTGAACACTGGAAGTGGGAAAATAAATAGTTGTGTGGTGTCTTTTACTTCTTAAAGTGGACATTTTATTCCATGAAATATTTAGAAAAATTGAGATATGTAAATTGAATATAAATCCAAATAGTATTATATATACCTTTTCTTCATTGAAAATTCTAATGCCAGCTTCTGTAACAGATAAACCATAAAATCACGGTGACTCAGTGTGATAGAATTTTATTTCTCACACACACTGTCCAGTTAGCATATCTGATGGACCACTTTCTGTGTGGTGACTGAGGGAACTAGACTCCTCCCTTTGTTGGCTCTGCTGTCTTCAGTCCATGGCCTGGGGCAGAGGGGAGGGAGAAGGTGGAGGAGGCACACCTGTCTCTGCACCAGGCCAGCTTCTCACTTACATCTGCTGGTTAAAGCTAGTCTAAAGCCTTATTTAGATGAAAGAGGTGGAAATGTCACTCTTCTTTATGGACTTTCATAAAGTTTCAGTTACATACTGTGAATAGCTTTTAAAGGTTTTTTAAATACCACATTTTCCCCCAGAGTGTCAAAAACGGCTATTTTGATGATTCCTCATTCTCAGGAATTCTTGTTTGGGTTTTAATTTCATCAGGAGGCCAGAAAATGCTGAAAACAATTTGTATCTGTGTTAAGATGCATTTCTTTGGGGTAGAAGGGATGTAAGTATAGGAAAGGAAAACAAAAAGGAGGATTCTGTTATGTCCTTATTATATCTGTTGCTTGGGATCCAACTTATTGCATATATATGTGTGTGGATGTATATACATACACACATAAAAGGAATATTGTGTCAGAATATTAGCTGTTTCAGTTCCCAAGTTTTCTGAATGAGTCCTGTGGATGTGTATGTCTAAGATGTACTTGGTGCATGTTACGTTCCTTGGCTTGAGTGTTGCTGATTATTTTAGGTCACTGTATATTGTGGATGCTGTCATTGGTGGGTGTGTTTTGTGAGTACACACACAGTAGAGTGAGCCCTACTGTCATTAGCCCCTCTCATAAAAGCAGAATTAAAAATTGTCCCACTCTTGGTGTGCCTTTTTTTTTCGATGCCTGTTTAAAAACTTTCTCAAAATAGCCTTCCCTGCAAAGATACGTAAGGTCTACTGCTGCCTTATTAAGTCACTTGTGTCCATACTATAAATATGTCTGTTCAGGTGAATTCCCTCCATTTAGACAGTATCAGTTTTCTTGATTCAGTTGCCAGAAATATATCGTTTTGGGAACTGGGGAGAGGAGCCATATCTTATTAATAATTGCTAAATAGTACTGCCTCCTGGTAAGTTGTGCAAAGGGATCAGGGGATAACATAGGGATAAAGCCATTGTATTTAGAGAATGGGAGGTCATTAATGGCCTCTGACAGAGGAAGGAGAGGAGAGGCAAGACTATGTCAGGCAATTTGCTATTCTTGGAGCACTCCAGATTCTTTTCCTGCATGTGTGGTCTCCTTCACCAGGAACAGTTTCTCCCCAGATAGTTGCATGTCTCCCTCCCTCACCTCAGTTAGATCTCTGTTAAGACATCACCATCTTTCCTTGCCACTCTAAAACAGCGCCCCTCGCTGCATTATTCTCTAATGTCTACTTTATTTTTTATAGGACTTAATAGTACCACAAATTTTATTGAAGCACGTATTTGTTTAACTGGCTGGCTTTTTAAAAAACAGATTTTAGAACATTTTTTTATCATCCATAACCATTAGCAGTCAGTCATTCCCCATCTTCTCCCCAACACATTCCAGCCCCAGGCAATCACTTGTCAAGTTTCTTAGCTGGCTTTTTATTATATAAACTTACCAGAGCAGGGACCTGTAGGTTTTGTTTCTTGTTTGACCTAGAACAGTTGCTAGCAAATGATATGTGCTCATGACTAAGAGATATTTAATATTAGAATGGGAGTAATTAGCGGCAGCACATATTTATTTTAAACTAATGGTCAGCTGGGTCAGATTTGGTCTAAAGTCATGAATTACAGATTTGAAAGATTGGGAGCAGTCCTGGGTCTTCCTACTTAACTTGTATACTACCACGAGAGGGAGAACAGTGGCAAAGTACTAGATAAAGCAGGAAGGATTGTAACTGTCTTATGTGTGTATTTCAAGGTCGTAGATCTGCTAGTATCCATGTGCAGGTCTGCATTGGAGTCTCCTAGAAAAGTTGTCATTTTCGAGCCATATCCTTCTGTGGTAGATCCTAACGATCCTCAGATGTTGGCCTTCAACCCCAGGGTAAGTTGTGATCCTAGCACATCAGCCACAGAGCTTGCTTTAACAGGAATTGAGATTTTAGTCTCATTAGCTCTTCTATCTAAATCTCTATCTCTTCAAGCATATCTGTGATTATTTTAATTTTATTGTATATTTTTGGAAGTTCTGACTTACATAACCTTATTTTAATTTTAAAGATCATGAGTAAAGGTACAAGCTTTCCTTTTTTTTTTTTTTTGTATTTTCACTTCAATCCTCCCTTCCCCTTTCCCTTCTCCTTCCCCAACTGTCTGAAGGTTAGCGAAAGTTAAATTCATATTGTTAATGGACCAGCATTTCTTCAGAAAATAATTTTATAAATATTCATGAAGATCAGAATCCTTCTAAATAACAAAATTTTCAAATTGCATAAGACCTAAAAATTGCTTTAGTTTCTATTACTTGAAATAATTTTATAGAAATAACTGTATCAAATTTCCTTGGAATAATTTTCCTTCCTTCATAAGTGGTAATGGTACACATATTTACTACATCATGCTTAAAAATGAATTATCAGTTGGGTGAGTGTTTGCTGTCATTGGCACACTGCCAGCCATACTCTTTTGGTAACAATATTCTAATCAAAAGAAAATAAAAGCAATTGTGAACCTTAAAGTGGATATTTGTATTTTAGAAGGATTCTGTGCTTACTTTATTCATTGTGGCTAAGTGTCTTAGCCACAATGGCAAAAACCTGAATCAGGAGCCCCATATCTTTTTTGTATTTCTAGATTTTACTCTGTAGACCAAATATGATTTTGTGTACTTATATAAGGACTGGCATTGTCTTCTTTTTTCCTTCCCTCTTACTCAAATCATAAATCCTTTGTCCTTGAGCCATCTTATTATAGTCTTCCCTTTTATTCACACCAACAGTCATTGCTTTCAAGTTGACCCTTAGAAAAATTCACATACAAAAATAATATGCTTCTCTAGTGATGTGTAGATTTGCAAAGGCTGAGAAGTGAATATTGGTTTTTAAATTTTTTTATATTAAACAGAAAAAGAACTATGATCGAGTAATGAAAGCACTGGACAGCATAACTTCTATCAGAGAAATGACACAAGTAAGTATGTCATCTTCTAGTCTTTTACCTAATATTTTTCAAACGTCTTAGAGTGGTAGCCATGTAGTGAAATGTAGATTTTTCTGTTATATAGGGTATAATTAAAATCATTTTAAGAATTGTGCATTATTAGGATGTGTTATTAAAATACAACAGCATAGCAGCATGCTAACACCGTGACTTTGGAACAGTAAGTGCATAATTACTATCCTAATACTGTGCTCTCAAATTCAGGCAAGAGCCTTGAGTATGTCTGGATATTTTAGGGCAGAGGTCAAATCTGGCACCATCTTTCTAGAATGTCAATTTTAATTGATAGTAGCAATTTCAAAACATTTTAATTTTAAAATAAAAACAGAAATATTCTTTAAAATGAAAATTTTGCATAAATATTTTAGATATAACACAGAATCTCAAAACCACTTTAGAAGATGCCAAACTCCCTGAGAGTATGAGTATACATTTTTGGTCATTAGGGAGGCTTTGGTGGAAAAGTTTGTTGAACAAGGATCAGGGGTTGTTATGAAAATCTAGCACATTCCTGGGCTTTAGTCCAGTACTTGGAAAAGCTCATGCTATTGAATTATTGAGGCCTTTCCACTGCCAAAGATTTGGAGAGAGGTTTAAAACTCATCATTGTAAGTAGATATTAATAATCCAAAATTGACAGCAACACACATTATGTATACAGCTTACACATAGTGGTTTCAAGGGCTTGCTCTACCCTAGAGACTCTTGTAGGCTTATGATGAGTATTACCCTGGGTCATTTATTTTCTCTGGAGAAGGAAAAGGAGAATGAATTCTCCTGTCCCAGGGGCTACTAAGCTTCTACCTCACTCGTTCCCTACCCCTCACTCCCAGCACCATCTCCTCTATTTGAAGACAGAGTTAAAGAGTTCATTTTTACATTTCTCATTTTGATTCTTAATTCTTTTTGTCCTTATTTATTCATGTGGTCAGATATTGATTCATTCAACAAAACAGTATGTGTCAGACAAATGGTAAACAAGAGATCCTTGAATTCACAAGTGCTGTTACCCCCATCTCTTCCGTTTGTATTTCTGTACCCGTACCTTTCTGTATTATTTGAATCCTTTCTCAAACAAGCATTCATTATTTGCATAGAAAAAGAAAACAATAAAATTCATTTCCATTTCAGAGAAAAAAGGACTTAATGCAATATCTAACACAAAGTTAAATAAACATTTTTAGTCATGAAAAAGACTTTGTATAGGGTATTTATACTATACCCTAGACCCTGATTATTCTTGGATTTAAAAATAGCTACAGACTCTGACTCTGGAATCAGCTTTCTGCCAAAAATTGCTTCCTTTATTCTGGGTCATGCGTAAGCTATTTTAATAGGAGGCAATGTAGACGACTGTCAGCCTACGAAGTTAGAGGCCAAAATTGTATAACTGGCTTCTCAATGAGTGTGGCCTGTGACCTTGGGCAAGTTGCTGAATCGCTTGATACCCCAGTGTCTTCACTGCAGAGGTGGAAATAGTAACACTGCACCCTCTTACACCAGGACTTCATAGCGTTGCTGTCAGGTTTTATTGCATCAAATTCTTTAAACCTCTCTGAATAAATATAACATTATACTTTCCTCTTTGCTAGAACGTACTGCCCTAGCAATAGCACTAAATTGTCACAGATTGTTCTTTGTTCTATAGAATGGTTACTTATCTGGGTAACTTCTATTAAATACTCTTTAAAGAAGGGTCCTTCTTATGTAAATTGTGTCCAGTTTTCTACTCTTAAGTCTGTACCCTCAGATATGAACAGCATGAGTAGTAGCTATCACGAGTTTTGCTTTATTATTACCTAAACGTTAAAAAATGGCCTGTAATCCAGCACTTTGGGAGGCTGAGGTGGGAGGATTGCTTGAGGCTTGGGCTCATAACAAGACTCTGTCTCTACAAAAAATAAAAAAAAATTACCCAGGCATGGTGGTGCGCACCTGTGGTCCCAGCTACTCTGGGAGGCTGAGACGGGAGGTTCACTTGAGCCCAGGAGTGCAAGGTTATGGTGAGCTATGATGACACCACTATTGCACTCCAGCCTGGGTAACAGAGGGGAGCCCTGTTTCTAAAAAATAAATAAATAAAATGGTCATTGTCAAAGAGACACTTTACAGAATACTCTTTAAAGGTGGCAAGACAGATTTTTATTCAGAGAACTGCAGTAGGGAAGAGAGACTGCAGTACCAATTGAGCTGAAATCTAAGACAAAGGTGACTGAGATTTTTAAAGATAGAAAGAGAGGAAACAAATGAGGATATGGGGAAGTGAAAAAGCAGGGAAAGAAAAAGGGACTAGGGGAATTATGTGGAAATGAAAAGTTACAGATGAGGAGTAAGTGGAGAATTACTGAAAATGGTTTGGCAAGGTAGACTGGTACAGTATACATTTTGTGGTTTGGCAGGATTGTGTTTTCTTGAGCAGAGATTTTCTTGAGACAGGAGGTCTGGGGAGGCCAGATTTTAGGGATGTGACCTGTGATAAATGGAAGCCAGGCTAAAAGTCAAGTATCTCAACACAGTATTTGGGCAAGTCCTTTGTGCAGCGTGGAAGTTCACAGTTCCCATCGTCTTGGGAGAAATGACTTGGCTGATTGTTGCTGTTCCCATGTCAAGCCCACAGATTTTCAAGTTTAACTAGATGAGGCATATCGTTCAGTCTGATTTTCCTTTTGTAAAAAAGGAAAAATGAATTTTTAAGAAAAATCAAGGGTATAATGACTTTTTTTCCAGGCACCATATCTGGAAATCAAGAAGCAGATGGATAAACAGGACCCCCTTGCTCATCCCCTACTGCAATGGTATAAAATTTTAGTTTTCCTCTTAATGAAAACAGGATCTTTTTTTATTGCTTGCTTTAAGAAAGGGAGAAAAAAAAAGCCTATTTTACAAACCCTGCAATGCTACAGTTCTATAAGCCTATGAGACCTGGTGATTTTACGATCCAAGAGTACTTAGTGATTCTCACTTTAATTTAAATTTGTACAACACAAGGGGAAGAAAATGCTGTCATATGCACTACCAGGGATATACAATGCATTTGACAGCAGTTTGCCTGTAGTTGTAAAAGATGTGATTGACTAGATTACATGTTAAAGGCATTTTGCTTCACTTAATTTTTTAGTTCAATGAGGACCTAGAGAACTCACTATCTCAACTCTTATTATTGAAAACCTTTCTAAAGTATGTATTTTGTATATTTTGCCCCCTTAACAAGGACAGTATAAATTTGATTAACTCTTTGTTTGATCACTGCAGAAGATGCACTGTTTCAGAATGAGCCTGGTAAGAGACATAGCATTAGTCCAGCATGGATTCTAGAAGCAGAGCTAGACTAGGAACAGGAGAGGTAGCTTGAGAACTTAGCTTGCTACGATGCCCACTTTAAATAATTTGCCCTCTCCTACTTCAAATAATTTACCCTCTTGTTTTCTTACTTGCAAAATGAAGAGAATAGTATCTATTCAGCATGGCTTGTAAGAATTTTATGTACATGTTTCTTTGATATCACTTTGAAAATGCAAAGACTATGGGGTTTACTATACACTGATACAAGTGTAAGGATTGTAAGAGATTGGTCTGAATGAGCACTTATTCCATGCTACGACCAGGATGTTTTAAAAGTATGTGGTGAGCAGAGGAAAAAGAATCTGGCTTCGACCCTTTCCTTCATCGAAAAGTTACAATACATATTTAATTTAGTCTACCAAGACTGTGACAAAAATTAGGTATAGAAGCCTTCCTTCCGTCTTTGTATCTATTATGTTATTAAAATTCTGACACATTAAATATAATAACCCCTAATTTCCTATTTAACCTATTAAATTTTCTCATTGTCATATTCAAGTAGAAGATAAAAAATCTCAAATATCTAATCATTTTCTTTTTATTCCTTGAAGTCAGTCTTGTAGTTAACTTTTAATTATTTGCGATTATTTCCTCCAGCTTGTTAGTCACTCTACTTTCAGGGAAAAGAAAATCTACCAAAACATTTTGCACTTTTCCCAACTTATTATTTTATATAATGAAGAGCATAAAAACACAATCCCTTCTTTCATATACTTGAATTTAATTTTTTTCTAAAAATTGTCTAAATATGTTGAATTTTGTATACAAATTATTATCTGTATTAGCTCAAGGAAATCATCAAATATTTAAAGAAAAAGAATCTCTGTAAGAGCTTATCTTAATTAGGCAATGTAGAGAAGAGGAAAAGAAGCAAATGTATGAATCAGCTGCTAATGTTTGTATTCACATTATCATTATTTGAAAGTATATCCAGAAATGTTCATTTAGCTTATATTTGCGGTTGTGCTTATTAAAAACTATATCTTCTTAGGTTTTGGGGAACTACTGCCCAGTGTATTTTCTCAGATTAAAATATTATCTTTTTGGTTACATAAGTTCTTTAAATTGTTTAAGGAAGCGAACCAAAATTACATAATTAAATACAATTATTACCATGTTTAGTTTATGGCACGTCAAAAATAAATTTCAATCACTCTCCAACTAAGAAGCAAAACTTTAAATATATTTGGCATATATTTGTGACTGATGGATCATTTTAATTTCAGGGTTATATCAAGTAATAGGTCACATATTGTGAAACTGCCAGTTAATAGGGTAAGTTGTTTTTTCACATATGCCTACAGAAATGGGAGGAGGACCTTTATAAGTTGGGAGAACTGACCCCTGTGATTTTTAGGCAGCCTCTCCAGGAACTGAAGTAGACTCAGGTTAAGTCTAATTCTTTAGTTTGAAACTGCATTTGTGCAGCAACTCCAAGCCTTTCTAAGAAATCAAATTCAAATTCTGGCTGCTGCCCTGACCTTTTAAATAAATAAAAACATTAATATGAGGTCATTTAGTCATTCCACAAGTAATAGAAAATATTATTAACATCTAGAGATTGACCAGAAGAAAGTTAATGTACTTTTTAATGATTATCAGTTTCATGTTGGCACTTTTCCTTTTTTCTTTATCTGAGAAGATATTGCCTCCAGATCTCTTATTTATTAGCATACTAAGCTTAAAAAATAATAATTTTAAAAAAGCCTAATAGACTCTGATTTTACTTCTGATTATCTCCTAAGAGCAATATCTAAAATCTTAATTTTCTACATTTGTGAATCTATAATAATGTGAAGATTGTTATGTATTATATTCCTCTATAACTATATTCCTAAGTGAAAGGGAAACAGAAAAATTTGTCAAGCTATTAATCCAAAGGGTTCTGCTTTAATTTCTTTCCATGACCAAAGGGGAGAACTATTTGAATGTAGGCAATTTCCACTTTTATAAATATGTGCAAATAAAATATAATGATAATTTTTGAAATTTAAAAATCTTGAGCTAACTTTTCTGCTTAGCAAACTCCACAATATTTCCCCAGTTGAATTGCTAGTTTATACTTAGGGAATTCAATAATAGAAAGTCTTAAAAAATAAATGTTATTAAGAAGGCAGATCTGCTTGACCATGATTGCATACTGTATTCCAAAGTTAAATATAAATGACTTTGGATTGTCTGTGTCCTATTCCATTCCCATTAGCCTAAAGAATAGTCTTTCATATCTGCAATTCCATGTGGCTTACCACTTATGCAGGATTTTAAAAAATATGTATTATGAATTTGCCTATTATGATTAGTATAAAATCACTGTAGTTTGAAATTAGATAATTGTTAAACCGGTAAAATTTGAAATTGTCATCAGCCTGATTATATGCTAAGTTTGACATATTTTTATTTGTCATTATTTTAAATGGCAGCAATTGAAGTTTATGCATACTCCACATCAGTTCCTTCTTCTCAGCAGTCCACCAGCCAAAGAATCCAATTTTAGAGCTGCTAAAAAACTCTTTGGAAGCACCTTCGCATTTCAGTGAGTTAATCGCACTTCATGTTAATGGGGGTATGCTCCACGAGTTTTCCAGAAATGTGTGGGGAAGAAAACATTCTTTGTTAGTAGTTGGTAATTCATGTTCAATAGTCAGCTATGTAATGCCTGACGTGGATACTCAGAACTTACAGAAGGCATCATGACTTCCATAGTGACCACTTTTAAAGATCATTGAATTTCTGGTTTTGCTTTTTCCTTCTCCTCTGTTTCTGTAGTGGCTCTCATATTGAAAACTGGCACTCTATCCTGAGGAATGGTCTGGTTGTTGCTTCTAATACAAGATTGCAGGTAAATTTCCTGAATGCTTTAACAAGACCTCATTATTCTTCAGTATTGAGGTTCAGTGAGCAATCTTGGTGTTATGTTTTTACTCGCAAAAGGGGAAGCACGTGCACTTGAAAACATTATGTGGAACTTCTAATAAGCATAAGTACATTTTCACAAAGGCACTGAAGCAAAATTGATCCATACACAATGAAAAGAAAAAGTCGAGTTTTCTAAGAGAAAACAGTAAAAATCACACTTTGAACTTAGGAGGAAGAAAATTATTGTGCACAAATAAAACGATACAGGCATTCTGTACATTACTTCAACATACATTTCTCAAGTACTGGACCTCAATGTGAATACTTTTAGAGAACAAAATGTAAGAATAAGCAAAGTGGAGATTTGGATACTAAAGTGCCATCTGACACCTGCTTTTCAGCCTGCATGACAGTACTTGGAATTATCAGGACATGTGGGTGTTGTCCTCATCTTTATTTATGCCTTTCATCTTGCACATTCCACTTCACCCTCATGCAGCTGAATTTTTCATCTGACAGCATAAGGACATCAGGAAATGAGATGCTCAACCCAATCACCTGAGCTAACTCTCACAATACGATAGCATTTGAGGTGATTCAATTAAATATAAATGTGGGTAAATGAGCATTTATTGGATTAGTATTCAGTTCATACTAATAGGGTGTGAAGGCTCTAGAACATAGAGATAATAAGAAAGAATTTTAATTGTTCTGAATAGTTTCTTAGACCAGTTTAAGAGGTTCAGTTAATGAAACTCCTGTAACTTGAATAATTTAGAGGAAGATAAGAACGGGATGACAGATAGTGTTATATAATGAAAATCTCAGTAGGACACTTTGTTTATATACTAGCATGTCAGTCTTAGTCAAAATTCCTTCCCGTGTATTTCAACCTTGATTTTGTTTGTAGAATATTAGATTCATTAAAAGCCTACTAGAGTACTATATGGTACTTCATAATAATTGACTCTCTTTATCACTGTAGGGTGGAAAACATTTAGCAAGGATCTTTTCCCTCTAGCTATCGTTTTTCATGTATAAACTCACTGTGAATTTTAAGCACAAGGATATTAGTACCATTTTCAAATTAGAGCTTGGAATAGGAGTTCTATCATTTTTCTAAGACTTAATGTTCCAACATGAAACTGATTGCCGCCTTTTGTCAAATATTAACATTTAAAACATGGGCTGACCTCTCTTTCTCACACCTCTTCCCATTTTAGCTCCACGGTGCAATGTATGGAAGTGGAATCTATCTTAGTCCAATGTCAAGCATATCATTTGGCTACTCAGGTAATTATGTGTTTCATTTCTAACTTAAAATTTATTAGGTTTTTGGTTTTTTTATTATTGTATACTCTAGGCACAATTTTCTAGTGAGTGACTAGAGCTTATTAGATGTATTTGTATTAAATTCATTTGATAAATGCCAGAAGCAAAAACAAAGCTCAAATGTCAGGATGAATTCATAATACTTCCCTAATGGAATATGTGTTGCATCAATTTAAAAAATATACATTTTATTTTATTTTAATATTTCTACATTTATTCCTTCCACAAATAAATATTGGGAATACAGTATGTGCAAAGCAACATGTAAAGCACAAGGAAGTACACATGCATATTATCATTAAGTGTAATTCTATATTATACCAACTTCTTATCTTTGGATTATGATGTTATTCATAAAGAAGTTTTGAACATTATAACAAAATTAGAAGTAGAAAAACATTCTCAAAATTACCCTTACTTATTGACATCTTCTTGCTAATATTTTGGTGAGATTGTGGGAAAGAATATTTTGTAATAAATTGAGAGCATATGCTGAGGGGGAGAGCCTGGTGGGTTCAAAATGTGGAAAGAAAGATCGTCAGATTGTTAACATTAGTTATCCTTGGGTGGGGGAATTTGTGAAGATTTCTTCTTTGCACCTTTTAAATTTGGAATATTTTACAATGATCAGTATGATTTATATAACACTTAACCTATTCTGTCTAAATATAATTATGTTCATTGTAAAGAGATTCAGGCTACCCAGAATTTTAAAATTAGCAAATGCATTTTTTTCTCTTCTTTCCTATCTTAATGTTCAGTGTATTTTCCTTCACTCTTAGTGCTTTTATAGCCATGCATCTTCCTAGGTAGTTGGTTTTGCTTGTGTCCTCCTGTGTGTGTGTGTGTGTGTGTATGATTGTATAGTCACATTTCACAATTTCAGGAGATGCCATTCACATAGTGCCTGGATGGTAAATCTTAATATTGCCATGTTTCAGAAAAGGATAGAGAGATCTAATAACTAGGTGAACATTAACCAGGCCAACCTGTCTAATATGTTTACCAAAGTTCATCCTCTTACAGCTGTAACATTGTTTTTCAGCAATAGAGTAGCAAAACACTTAAAACTATATTTATAATTAGAAATCCTAAAAGAAAACAGCAACAATGATTTTTTAAAAAGTACAGTAAAATTCTGATAGAAAGAAAACTTTTAAAAATTAAAAGGTTGCAAGGTAACAATAAAGGAAATGAGAATAAAAAATATATAATGAAAAATTAGAAGAAGACAAAGATAATTATTCAAGTAACTATTGCTGTTTTACAAACCACCCTAAACTTAGGGTAAAACAACAACTTCATTATGCTCATAGATTCTTTGGGTCAGAAATCTTGGGTACAACCTGGCCAGGTGATTCTTTTGCCTCTTGAAGTATCCACTGAGTGGTACTTAGTTGGTGGATGGGCTGCACTGGCTGATCTAAGAAAGCCTGACTCACAGGTTCTTTGCCTTGGCGGGAACGAGCTAGAACTGTCACCCCTCGCTCCAATATGTGCCCTGCCCAATGTGGTGCATCCAGGGTAATTGGATTTCTTACCTGAGTTTCTCCAGAGTGTACTAAGAGCATCTGATGGACTTTGTATGGCTTTTTCTGATCCATTTTCTGAAGTTACATGGTGTCAATTCCTACATACACTACTGGCTAAAGCAATCATGAGCTCTTCCGTGTTCAAGAGTTGGGGAATTAGACTCTATCTCTTGATGAAAATGTAGCAAGTCTCATTGTAGCAGAGTATATAGGTTGATAAGTATTTGTTGCAGTGATCTTGAAAAATCTGATATGCTAAATAACACTAAGAAAATAAATACCAGGAAAAATAGAATAATAGAAACAGGAAATGGTATAACATAGTTCAAAGGAGAAAACAATTAAAATCAGACCCTAAATATTATTAATATAGAACCAAGTAACAAATTAAAAAGCATTTTAAATAAATAAATATATCCTTGGCATAGATAAGAAAAAGAATAACAAGTCATCAAGTACTGTGACTTTCTGCTTCTCATACTGGTGTATGGACTCCTTAGATGAACTAGGGAAGGCACAAACTGTGAATGGACATAAAATTTTATCTGTGTGCTTTTGTCTGGGGAGAGAGTCCACAGCTTTCATCAAATTCTTGAAGGGCTGTCAGAAACACTGCAGTAAGAAGTAGCTCCTGTAGAAAGTGTGGGTTGTTAGAGGGCAGAGAGTGGCCCCTCTTTATCTTAGAGCTGCGTGTCTGAGGTCCCAGGCCTGCTCCACAACCTGACGCCACCCTCCTTTGTACCTTCTGGAGGAGGCCTGACTTGGAAAGGGATGGATAAACGTACTCTGCAAATTGGGAAACAGGTTTTGCCCCTTCTCATTATGCCACTTATTGAAATAACAAAAATCAACAGGGGTCTCAACTTTTGGTGCAATAATAGGTGAGTACTTTCTAATAGACTAGAGATACAAATCTACCTATTCTGAGACAGATGTATAATTTTAGTTCTATTTTTCTAAAATCTTTTACAATAAGAAATCATGGCATTTACAGAGTAAGCTAAGGCTTATGAATATCACAGACAAAAGAACTTATATAATTTTTCCTCATTAGAAGAAATGAGAAATTCTACACAGAACTGAGTCTTTGTTAATAATTCATGAAGTTACAATGTAAATATTTAATAGATTTTTCTGACATTGTTCATATTCCCCACCCTTTATCTTCTGTTTCTCCTAACCAAATATAATAAGAAGAATGAAAATTAGGTTCCCAAAGCCTTTTAAAACCAAGTTTTAAGAATTTTCTAATTATGTTGATTTTATGCAAAAGAAGTTCCTATTCTTGCTTTCAATGCAAAGAAAAACAGACTGAGATTTCCACTTGCTAAGTCACTTAGGATTTCCAAAACCTACTGACCTTCCACCTCAGGTGTCCAGGGCACAGCCCATTGTGATTGTCTCTGGCCTAATATAGTCAAATCTTTGCCTGCAGTGAAGCTTTGCACAGTAAATAGATTGTGCTTTGAACTGCATCAGACAAGTTTGTCCCTAAAGCATTATTTTGCTGGTATTTTCAGGGATGAACAAGAAGCAGAAGGTGTCAGCCAAGGACGAGCCAGCTTCAAGCAGTAAAAGCAGCAATTCATCACAGGTGTTGTAGCAACTTGAGTGACTGCTTATATGATTAGCTAACTGCGGCCTCATTAACTAGCAGGACTTCGATACATGCTCAGGCTTTTTAAGCCTGCAAAGTTATTTTAAGTAGTTGTTACTCGTAAATGAATAAAACTCACCTTAAAATGTAATAACCGAATTGCCTCTATATAAGAATCATTTAACAGATATTTCTTTATCTCCCACTATAACACCAGAGACTCTCCTAGACATTGGGGTACAGTGATAACCAAAAATAGACTCGTATTCCAGTCTTGTTGGAGCCTACATTGTACTGAGGGGATATAAACAAGTTAAATGTATTTAGATAGGATGCTAGATGGTGCTAGGTATTATGGAGAATAATTAATAAGGAAAAAGGGACATTTAATCCTAGAGGATGGAAGAGGGAACTGGGAGTAGTGTTAAGTGGGGTTGTCTGGAAGAGATGCTCTGAGAAGGTGACATTTGGGTAAAGACCCATATATGATGAGTGCCATGTGGCCCTCTGGGAGAAAGAATATTCCAGGCAGAGAAAAGAATGACCACAGATCCTGTGTTATTTCAGAGAAAACAGGTATGTTCTGGGCAAATTAAAAATCCATCTGATGAATAATGTGACTTTAATTTTTAAAAAAGAAAGTATAACTAATCTCATATGTGAAAACAACAATACCCTAGAATCAGATTTTCTACATGAGCTCTTTCTGAACACTCTATGGCTTAGTAAGTGATGTTCAAAATGGGTTGGTTTTGGATAGTTAGATGATCTGGAATAATTGATTTTAATGTTTGAAAAGATCATGCAAATTTAATTTTGTTTACCTTGAAATAAGGAGGCCAGGCTTCCGCTAAAAATAAATTTGAGTTCTAATTCTGTGTTGTAAGACTATTAACTCTAATTTAGCATTTTTTAGTTCACTCATCTTGAGAGTAATTTAGTAATGATTATGTACAGATATTAAATGATACCACAAAAATAGCTTGATATTAAGAGAGTGCATGGATATTGATGCTAGGCTCATTAGGCTGTGTTTTTCCTGGAGCCATCTTAGTGACTATTATTTTTTGATGATGAACAATTTATGTACCAGAGTGTCTCATTTTCACTCTAATTTTTAAATTCTTTTGGAATTTAGTCACAGAAAAAAGGACAGCAATCCCAATTTCTGCAAAGCCGAAACTTAAAATGCATAGCCTTATGTGAAGGTAAGTTGGAAGTTTTACAAACCTTATACTATTAGTTCTCTATCTTGCCTGTGTTTAAGAATACAAGTGTGGTGGAATAGTGAAAGATTATTCCTTATGGTTATCTTGAAGGGCACAAATGGAAAGTGGGCACAATAGAGATCATAAGGTTAAGACCAAATTACAGAATTGGCAAGAATTCAAAGTGATATTATTTTATTCCTGGCAGGTATTTCAGAATGGTGATTATATCTTTCTGATCAAATAAAACTTATCTCTTTCACTAATGTGCTACCGTCCTCTTTAAGCTGGTATTTGAATATATAATATCATTTGAGTATATAATACCAAAAAGATGAACCAGGCATTGAGAAGATAGGTCTTAACCCATTAGGTCTTTCTGTTCCTACACTGAAATTATTCTTCCATTTTGAACACAGGTCGGAAAAATTAATAGATGATTTTCAAGGTCATATGCTTTTCTTTGTTCTTGCTTTAAAGCTTATTTTTGGCTAAAAAACTCATCTTTTCTTCTTGGGTTAAGAGTTTCAGTAGCCATTGTCAACTGTTTTAAGTTTTCAACACTTGGTAGCTATATAGGACACTAAGTTGCTGTCTACATCATTCCCAAGTCAGGACCCATCTGCTTTTGATAATACTCAAGTGATTTGCTTCCTATTGTTATACCAATTTTTATTCAAATCATAAAGTCGTTCATGTCTTGTCATTTTTTTAATTTACATTTCTTAAGAGCTAATAACGTTAAACACTTTTCATTTGTGCGTGTATTTTGCTTTAGATTTGGAAGAAAAAGGATATAGTACCTTGGAATAAACTAGAATGAAATAGTTCTTTAATTTTATCTTCCACTTACAGTGATCACCTCACCTGACCTGCACAAACACGGAGAGATATGGGTTGTCCCAAATACCGATCATGTCTGCACACGATTCTTTTTTGTGTAAGTGTAAATGCTCAAGTTTGTCTTTTACTATTTTTACAAATGAGATGTAGGTAGTGATTGCATTATTATTTGGTCACTTTAGCTGCCAAAACATAACAAACAGGTAATTGAGTTTAACGTTAACTTAATGTTTTTGTTTATTTTCAATAAGCCATAAAAAACAAAGTGATGGTTAAATGATTTCTAACTTAGAAGAACTGAAGAAAAACAACTGTTAACTTCGAAATACAGAAAACATTCTCTGTCTCTCTCTAGCCATCTATCTTTGTGTGTATTAATATGTATGGATATGTATGTTGATGTGGAGGGTTTTTGGCACAACTTTAATGCAGCAATAAGAGCTGCATTAAAATATAAAAGCGTAATTTTTCATTCCTAAAAATGGGTGCAATAGACTGGTCTGATTTTCACCCCACCCTTGGCTCCCAGTCCTTTTCCGACACTGTTCTCACCTCACCCATGATCTTGTCACAGAAAAGATTTCAGGGAAGAGTTGAATATATATGTTTTGTACTTTATTTAGTTTTCTAAAAAGAAGCTGAAAAACTGAACGGGCTTGTTTTATAAGCCATGTCAAAATGACTGCATCAAGATTGCTTCAATATATCGTATCATATATTCATAGTATCCTATGCGTTTGATCTGTTGGCTTATTGACAGACTATTCACAGTGGAACTTATGAGCTGCCTACTTTTCTTTTGGATGGTATGAAAACTGTGACTTCCTTATGATACATATTTATTAGCTATAGGGATCTTTCTTAGCAGTGAGTATAATGGAAAGAGCCCAGCTTTCAATCAGACGGTTTGAATCCTGGCTGAACAGTAATTAGTAAGGTGGCATTCGCCAAGTTGCGTGACCTCTCTAAGCTTCATCAGAAAAATTAAAATCATGTTCCTACCTATATCAGTTAGAATCCTAACAGGAAACAGATGACTCTTGAAAATAGGATATTTTTATTATCCACAAATAGATTATTTACAGAGGTGTGGTTATACGAAAAGAGAAGGTCCAGTGTAGTAATGTGGATCTATTAACACCAGAGCTGTTACACATTCTCAGGTTCAAGAGAACAAAAACTGGAAATAGTCCTGCTGGGAATTCCTGTTGGCTAAACCCTACCAGGAACCAGAGGGCAGTGGAGCTTATTGACAAGTCCTTAGGGGTCAGCCCCCTGAGACCAAATGAGGGAGATTGGGAAACTCCTAGAGTTGTCTGCATGCAGTACTTTTTAAGGTTATTATGATTAATTTAATGCAGGTCACTATCAAAGGGCTCATTAAATATTTTTTCCCTCTTCTTTCTTGACTATCTTGATTGTTATCCACTGTTAGAATATTGGCCCTCCAAAAAGAAACCTCTAGAAAAACCACAAAGTTTTTCATTGAATGACCTTGAGATTTTGACAGAAAAGTAACTCCAGAGTTCTTTTCTTAGCCTGTCATGAAATCAGTTAATCTACTCCTTTTCCATCTTGCTGAAATTCAAATTTATTGAGCTAAATAAACAACCTTAGATATTTAAGTAGATAGCACTATTTCTAGTATAATTTCTTTACAAAAATTATACATAAAACATATATATAGGGATATGCGTATATGGGGGGGTGCATATTTAGTGGAGAAAAAGATATCTTTAAACCATACAAAGAAAAAAGAAGAAAACACTTTCAGTATACTCAGATACTTTCCAAATAATACTAAGGAAAAAATGATATTAAGATAATTTTCATTGCTTTATAAACACAAATGAGGTTTCATCTTTTTTCTCTGCACCCTCAGGAGAGAAGAGACTCATTAAGGAAAACTGATAAAATTCAAAACACATCAAAGGGAAGAATCCATTCACTAATTAATGTACATTCTAATTACAACCATCAATTTCTTTCTTTATGAAAGATAAAGATCATAGAGTCCTACTAGCGGTGAGTCCCCCTAGTGAGTGGTGACATCTAGGAAAAGGACAAATTGATGAGAATGAAGATCATTCAAAAACTCAATATCTGTTTTTTTATTTTAATTTTTAATACATTATGTGATACCTGATGTTAGAAGTTTTGGCTGATGACTAGGATATATGTTAATATGGTTTTCTTTTTTTATCTATTATTAGGTGACTATATTAAAAATTAAAATAACTTCCATGCTAATGTGATTTCCAGAGTCGAGATAATAAAACAGTCATTTAGTATCCTAATCGCATATTTTCCAACAAGTAAACAACATAGAATGAGAGAAAAAGAAATGAGAGAAAAATGGGAGGAAATTTTAGAGAACAGACTGGTCTAGTAGAAGAAATTGAAAGTAAAATTCAAAAGAGGATATTGCTTAGGACAAAAAAGAGGAAGAGAATGAGAAGTTTAAAAAAATGTTATTGAAAAATTCCAAAATGAATCATCAACTTAATTAACTATAAATGCTCCAGGCAAAATGTAATGGTTCAGATGTTATGAACAGATCCTAGCCAATTCCTAATGTCTAGAAATTGTTAGTAAGGCTTGATTACATTACTAACTTTGAAATGTATACGGGGACATTAAGGCCCATATATAAAAATAAGAAAGCTGTTTTCAAAATGGCAGAAGATCTGAAAGTAGGAATGCATGAAATGCTCATGTCATAACTGCTTGATGAGTATTTTCCTTACAAAAGCCTGATGATAATCTTAAAATCAATATGTACAAATTGGAACCCATTATTTAAATTCCTTAACCAACTTGTCAACTTCTCCTATCTATGCATCAGAGAGACAGAAACCTGAGCTGTGGTTTTCAGTTTCTTTTTCCTTGCTTACCATATTCATCAGTTCCTGAGTTTATCTTTTCAGTTTTCTCCTGTCGATACCTGTATTTCCATAGATATATCATTCTTTCTCCGAGTACATCAAAAGGTTACTAGTTCTCCCTGCCTTTAATTTCATCACTCTCAATTTATTTTCTACAATGCCAGATTTATTAAACATTACCATTATTTACACTAGTGATATACCTGTTCAATATTTGGAAATTAAAGATAAACCAAAAAAAGAAAATTGCCCATATTGTCCCCACTTAGAGTTAACTAGGATTATTCTTTTGATGTATAGCCTATCTTTCTTTGCATATAAAATTGTAAAGTCATACTATTTATACTATATTAATTTCCCTAAAGCCGCATTTTGATTATTCCTTGCCTATATAGGCTGATAATTAATACAAATACATGACATTCTGTAACACACTTCAATTACATGTACAAACTATTAATTAATGGAAATTGTCAACCAAGCTGTTTAGAGTTGTATTTCCCAGGATTGTGCCTTTGCCCCATCAGTCCAAATGACTGGCCTTCTCACCAGCTCGCCTTTAGCCTATTTTTCAAGGCTGACTCAAACATGGTCTTGTCCATGGCACTTTCCCTGACCTCGCAGTCAGAAATGATATGTCTATACCCGAATTTTGCTTACTTTGTCTTTAGACCTCTTAGGCTGCCTTGTTCTACAGTTATTTCTATAACTGTGTCTCCCCTAGTACAGATCCTGTTTGTGTATGGGAATCTCATGATAATGGCTTGTGCAGAAGCACTTAATACACATTGAATGAAACTGTTAACAAAAGACTGGATGGTCTAACTTAATGAAGAGATTGTGCTTGGACTATGAAGTAGACAGTATACTTATAGCATCAGGTTTCTTATAGGAATTTTGGACAAGTGCTGAATATCATTCAGTCCACAATGGATTTTTCTTCTCTATTGCTAATGAAAAACAGTGTCTAGTGCCTGGGTTCCAGATAAAAAAAAAAAGACAGAAAAAAATTTACCTGTGCCAATCTTAACACTCTCACCAAAGATACTATATCAGTTTGAGAATAAAGGTTGTCAATATGTTCAAAAGTTTTTATCCATGAAATTTTCTAATGTCCTTAAGGGATTTCCAGACAGCTAATTTCCACTTATTATCTTATTTTCTCTCTAATATTTTTAAGCAAATTGGTTTATCTTTCATTAAAATTTTAGTAATTTTTTTTTGTTTCAGTATATTATGAGGGTACAAATGTTTAGGTTATGTTTGTTGCCTTTGCCCCATCTGAGTCAGAGGTTCAAGTGTGTCCATATTTTTATACTTCTGGGAATATGAGTAATTTTTGTCTCCTTTTAGATGTTTTCATTTTCCATTCTATTAAAAAACCCAGTTGCGTGTATCATCTTCTTACTAATATTATGCATGCTCTATTTCTTTTTTTAATTTTGTTGCTTTCTGGACATAAATAAACTTTACTGTTACATTAACAACTCAGTGTTTGCAGTATGAATAAATAGTTGTGAAGTATTCTGTGTGTCTTATTGTATTAATAATAAATATCCTAATGCGACCAGCAACTCATACATCTAAGACTTGCCAGTTTCCCAAATTAAATGGTAGTTTGTCTTTCTTTATTATTAAATATGCTTCATAGTTTACGCCATCTGAATGCCTTTGGCCAGTTTTGTCCTTCAACCCACAACTGCTTCCATATGAGTTTCACACACAATGGAAAAATATGCATTTTCTTTAATACTTTAAATCTCTTTCTAATCCTCATTCTTGCTTTTGCTCTCAATTTTGTTCTGCTCTCTCTGCTCCCCTTGTGTTCTTTCTATTTTAAGTTATTATAGTTTATTCAAATAATGTGAGTCTCATCTCTTCTCCATTAACTTCTAATGCTTTTTAAATGTGATATCTGTGGGAAAGTTATAGTTAGGGAAAGATACAAGGATTGAAGGTAGAGTTTTAGGAATCAGCATGTTAGCAATAGTTAAAACTTGGAAGAGACTGAAGTAATTGACTTTACATGAGAAAGAAGAAAACTGAGGAGTGAATCAAGTATAAAATCATCATTGAAATGATAGGCCAAAGATGAGGATACAGTGAAAGAGACTGAGAATTAATCTTAGTACTGGGGCACTTAGTGCTTGATCTCCTGAGAAAATATTTGTGATTGGGCTGTGTACCATCTATCCCATTTTTTTCTTAGGATAATGTTTCACCATGGGGTGTCATTTGCATATATATGTAAATTGAGATTTTCTAAGTATATCGAAAAGGGCAAACTAGTATAAGAATTAGCCAAATTGACCGACAACCTTGGATCATTTAGTTAAGAGTTTAGACTTGGTACCAATGCAATTATTACTTGGTGTTTAAGCGTGGCTTATTATGTAAGGAGTTAAGTTCTCATTGCTATGTTTCATCTGTTTCATTTTCCTATATTGTGCTATTTCAGGAAAAGATAGTGGCTAGTATTAATCTTTGAGACACTGTACTTACACCCCTGGTTTTCTGTTTTCAAGTAATTACCATTCTCTAAGGCTTCTATCTTGAAGCCATTTTTATGAAGTAAAATTAATTCATCACGCGTTCCCCTCTGAATATCATCCTAAAAGTTTGAAAAATTGTTCTTAGGAAATTCTTATTGCCCAAGGAAGTTTATTTGAGGATGTGAATTGTTATCTAAAATGTAATTATTTCTTTCTAAAGACCTTAGTAATTGCTGTCCTTTCATAATATATTTTCACATCTACTGCTAAGCTAAACTTAGCAGGCTTGCATTCTTATCTGACATCCCAACATAAATAAGAATATGTTACAGTCAGACTAAATAGAACAACCAGTGATAAGAAAAAAGTGTGGCACCAATTAGAGCTGAATAATCGTTAGAAGGCAGGCATGGCAGAGAAGCGCTGTTAGAAAGAGTGAAGCTAGTGCCAACAATCAGAAAATAAATACATGATTGAAGTAAGGGCTACGAAGTCCAGAACCTAAGGAATATAACATTGAAGCTGTTACATTCTGTCACATTAGGCTTCATAGCAACTGCCATGGGAAATGCTTGCAAGGTCAAAGACATGGGGACACTTCCTGAAAGTCAGGCAGTGCCTTATGTCAGGGTACACAAATTACAATGGAAAGGAGCAGCAAATTAAGGCATGATGTAGTATAACGGATTATTCCGTGTTTAGTAATGACAGCACATGTTAAATACAACTGGAAAATGACTATATCCTTTGCTTTTGATTCCCTTGGGCTGCATTTTAGGTCTCAAAGGGCATTTCTAAGCTGTTTTAAATGCTGCCATCTTTTTTTAATGTATTTATGTTTTTGTGTTTTGTATTTTAGCTATGAAGATGGCCAAGTGGGAGATGCAAATATTAATACACAAGAAGGAGGCATTCACAAAGAGATCCTCCGAGTAATTGGTAATCAAACTGCTACTGGTTAAAGGACTACCATTTAATTAACATGATTTGAAAGCCTTCCTCGGGTTCAAAGCTGGATTTTGAACTGAAGAAGATGATAAAATAATTTATTGTTATTATCAACAAATTTAACCCTTTGAATACTGATTTTTTTTCTTAGTATTTCTAAGTATCTCATTAAATACCTAAAATGGTATAAAATTTATCAATTGTAGGGTTATGGAATCTAGTAATAAAATCAAAACAGCACTTAAACTGAAGTTTGGGTTGCTCATACAATAAACAGATTGAAAAACCAGTTTTGTGCTGATATTTTTATATTAAACTCTTTAATTGGACATTTGGTACTATATGCTAACATTTCAGGTTACTGAAATAGAATTGGGAACATTTTATAATGGTCTCTAAATCTATCAGATACTTTGCAATAAGTAAAATGTTTGCATATTCTGATGTGCTGTATAATTAGTGGTATGATCCTTCTAATATTTTGGGAAGTATGTTCCCTGGTCTCCTATTTTTCCTTATACAAAAACAATTAGGTCTTAGAAGCAGTGCTTTTGCCCAAAAGTATGTAATATACATATCTATAGATTCATGCATCAAAATGTGTGCTTGTGAATATATTTGTGTATATTCACACGTATGCATTTTGACAACAGCGATGGCTTAGCATCACAATTCTATCCTCATTCAGTGAAAGAAGATAATAAAGTAAGCAGTAAATTTGAACTTAAAGCAAGATGTGAGCCAAATTTACCACCGTTCATTCACAGATAATATTTGCAGACAATTTTTCTGTTTGTCTAAATAAATTCAACTCTTTTAAAATGTTATCTAAAGGTCATAATTTGGGGAACATAGATGCTCCTGATAGATTGAATCTATATTCAAATGATCATGTATTTAAAAGAAAGGTCTCAGAACTTAAAGAAACAGTTTATATTTTTTATTTACTACAATGGAACATTTAAAAAATTTATTTATACCACACCAGCATTTTTATATTTGCTCATCTAGTACCTCTGCTTATTTTTTTTTTCATATTGAGAAAGAACACAAACTTTGAAGCTTCTTTTATATTAAAAGAATACAAATAAGTTTCTAGAGAACAATAACACCAGCTCTCAGCATTTTCTTTTCAAGAGTCATATGCTCATCAAAATCATTTCTATTTCTTTGAGTCCTAGAGTTCTTATTCATTTCAAGTTTTAATTGACAGTGTTTATTTTCCTACATGATGTCTTTGGAATAAGGCCATTCATGAAAGCAGTTTAATTAGTGAGTCTGCCACTCTATTCTCAGACCCTGAATCAAGGCTTGTATCTGATTTTAATTTATGTAGAAAAAAATAAAAATGTATAGTAATTTGCAAGTATAATGTGATAACTTCTGTGTTTATTTCCTTTGTCTGGCATAAAAGGTGAGAAAAAGGTCATACAAATTGTTAAGGGTTGCAGTTTAGGAAGTATTTACTAATCATTTGTTTTGGTGGTTTGTATATAATTGATTTGCCACTTATTTCTGCTAAAATAGGCTTGAAGTGGTTGAGATATTAATCATTTTGATAGTATCTACTTAAAACATTGGTCTGTTTTGACTTGTGCCTCTGAACTCAGGGCTAGACTGAGGGATATATTATCATGTTAGGGCCAAGATTTGTGGATTTGGTGTGGAAGAAGACCACTTGCTTCCTTCTGCCAAGACACCACAGGTCTCCCAATCCCTTTAACTGTGTTTTTAAAACATTTTTAAGTAACAAATTATTTTTTTTGAATTTAATTTTGTGGGGCATTCTATACAGGACATAAATGTGAAGCCCTAATACCAGGATTTGAGAATAGGGATCTTAGAACCCCAGTTTGTCCACTAGGACCACTGAGGCACCTCCAAAAAACCCTGCAGGATGCCCCAAGCATAATTTTAAAGCCACTGACCCTGATCCATTCTGGCTTTGCTTAACAGCTCAGTGATCTGTTAGGAATATTGTTTAGAATCTGAACTGGAATAATAACTTGTAGGATTCAAGGCAGACTGGTTAGGGGAAGAGAAACTGGCATAATTATAACTTCTACTGCCAACTTAAGAAAAAAAGCAGATTCATCTATCTAAGGAAGGAGAGTGGTTGATAATTCAGTACCTACTAAATATTACAGAGCAGTAGGCATCTTTTATGATAATATGTCTTCTAATGACAATTAATTGACTTGTTTTACAATGCTGAATGACAGATTTTTGTTTCCAAAAATTGTATCAGATTCTTTGTAAGCAGATATTCTAAGGAGAATCAATCTTTTAATTGAACTTTCTGAAATTAGACTACTATAATATACTGATGAAGATGCTTATGTGTATTTCTAAAGAATATAATTTTGATCAATGCCATTAGTAAAAGAATATCAAGATTCTAAAAATCTAAACCAGTCCTTATAATTCAGAACTTTAAACACTGTTATCATGCTTTGATTCAGTCACCCATTAAAATAATATCTTTTGACGTTTTTGATGATTCTAAACATTTGATATTGTATTGTGTTTTCATAATCATTTGAAATCTGTTCACTGATACTTTGTAATAGTTTTATTAATTGTGTAGCCATTACTAGTAGATATTAACCTACTAAGCAAAGGCAATCATTTATTTTCATTCTTGAAGTAGGGAAAACAATACCTTAATTTATTTGTTCTGCTTTTTCCTGCATATTACTGATTTTGTAAACATTTCACTATGAATAATTTGTCCTCTTTCACTGTATAAAAAAGAGAAGAAAATGATTGAACATTTAATAAATGAAAAAAGTAATAACATACAAATAATCTAGTGCTATAGAATGCATTATGGTAAGGTGCTCTGAGTGCCTTAGAGTGCACTATGTTGGAATGAATTTTATATTTGTTGCTCAGTAAATCTCAGTCAAATGTTGGATTTGAGGGTGGCTTTTTAATTTAAAAGTTAATTTTGAGTGTCACATTTTTAGAGTTACTATCAAATACTATGTAGTATAAGAAACCATCCCAAACTATTGTTAATGCTATAAATGTTTCCCATTGAAAAATTTGAGTTTAGAAAAGAAATTCCTCAATTTTTGTCCCCATTTGCTAAAAGAAAGAAAATATGTAAGTCTACGAATTGTTAAATAGCTGAAAGAATTTTAGCAGTACTTTATATAATAACAATATTGTAAAAACTATAACTTGCCTTAGGGAATGGGGTTTCAGAAAGTTTTAAGGAAAAACTCGTCATCCTTGTTAACGAGTCTGGATGACTTCATCAGATAGTAACTTAATATGCCATAAAGAACCACTCAACCTTGGACCATCTACCATCTAAATAAATATGGATTTCCTGGTGGCATTTGAAGCACATTTTAAAAAACATTATGAAGGCCGGGCGCGGTGGCTCACGCCTGTAATCCTAGCACTCTGGGAGGCCGAGGCAGGCGGATTGCTCAAGGTCAGGAGTTCGAAACCACCCTGAGCAAGAGCAAGACCCCGTCTCTACTATAAATAGAAAGAAATTAATTGGCCAACTAAAAATATATAGAAAAAATTAGCCGGGCATGGTGGCACATGCCTGTAGTCCCAGCTACTCGGGAGGCTGAGGCAGGAGGATTGCTTGAGCCCAGGAGTTTGAGGTTGCTGTGAGCTAGGCTGATGCCATGGCACTCACTCTAGCCTGGGCAACAAAGCGAGACTCTGTCTCAGAAAAACAAACAAACAAACAAAAAAAACATTATGATGTTCTATTGTCCTGCTGAATTCTTCATTATAACACTACCTCAAGACAAATGATATCTTAACTGTTTGTTAAGATAAATTGGGTTTCTAGTGTAAGGAAAAAATAAAATTTTACAAGCAGAAGTCATTAAATAATTCAGCAATTAAGATCATGGTGGACATAGATATCGTCAATTACTTTTGGACAATGCAGTAACATGGATATTTCAGTCACTGGTGATGAATGATGTAGTTAACACCCAATGAGTTACTTGAAAGGATTTCAAGTCACAAAATTTGAAATTAATTAGTGTATTTTGATATCAGTTTTCTACATGGGCCAATTTTATGTCCCTTCACCTAAAGCCACAAACAATCGGCCACTCTAGAGAGTTAAACGATTAAAATACCCAACTGCTATGCCAGAATGGCAGACTGAATATTTAAATACTTTGGCACTTAATGCCTGCTAAATTTTTGTCAGATTATATATAGATTTGATGTATATTATTACCCAGTAAATTTTTCTTGGGGATTTTTGTATACACTATGAAATACTAGGATAAGTTTTTGTAGGTCAAAAGAGTTTCAAGTAGTTTTTAGACAAAACATATCCATGAGTGTGAACAAGCTGTGTTGAAGAATAGATTACATTACTCATTTACCAGCAAGTCAATAAAAAATAGTGCTTATTTACATAGTCAATATAATTTAATGTTCTAAAAATAATTTCTTCAATCTGCCCAATATTTAATGTATCATTTGAGATTTTAAAAAATACAGCCACTCCTTTATGTAAACATTATGATATGCCTATGTTTCTTTAACTATACAGCCTTCTTTACAATAAATTTCCTGATTTTTATGCACAGAATAGTATTGCAACCTGCTATTTAGCCCTTGGTGCCTTAGAGTTATTATAAATATTTAACAATATGTACATAATGTAAATATTGCCAAGAGATCACTAAGGCCAAATATTTTCTCTATTCACTTTTTATTGCACTTGCTTTCTATTGCTACTTAAGCCTCTTATATTCAGCTTTGTAATAGTTCTAACATTGTAGCCAATGTAAATGTTTACTTTCAATAAATCTGAATTTGTTCAACAAGTACGGTATATGTGGGCACTATTTTGAAAACTTGGCTAGGCCTTAGATTCTTCTGTTGATGAATCTTGCTTCTGGGGACTATGTATTTATTTTAAGGGCTCAACAAACTCTAAAAATGGTGTATCCCTTTTTATTTTTAAAATAATTTAAAAATAAGTGGAATAAAAGAAAAAACCCTTGCCATATTCCCCATATAATTTGCAGTAGATTGAATTGAATGTAGGAATGCCATTTTAATTTCAAATTCTGTCAAGTATAGGATTGAAAGAAGAAACTCTTATATATTTTGTATGTATGCTCTCTATATAACACCTGGGTATAATCACAAAAGGAGCATTTCAAATGAACTGTCCTGAATTTTCTAAGCATTTCTGACCTGATGAGCAATTGGAAAATGATTTTTAAAGCACCACTTTTTATAAAATGCATCTGATTAACTGAGTAAAACCTTGGTTCATAAATAAATATG